ATATTACCTCAACTACCTCAACTAGCCGGTGCCCCCGCATATTGACTCTGCACCGGTACCCCCCTGTATATAGCCTCCCTACTGTTCTTTTATTTTCCTTCTGCTCTTTTTTTCTCAACACTTTTTTGTTGTTGTTTTATTTTACTTTTTTATAAAAAAATAAATGCATTGTTGGTTAAGGGCTTTAAGTAAGTTACCATTTCACGGTAATGTCTACACCTGTTGTATTCGGCGCATGTGGCAAATACAATTTGATTTGATTTGATTTGATATGCATATATTCTTAAATCCCATTCCTTACTAGTTTTGTGTGTATTAGGTATATGTTATGAAATTGTTAGATACTACTTGTTAGATATTACTGCACTGTCGGAGCTAGAAGCACAAGCATTTTGCTACACCCGCTATAACATCGGCTAAACACGTGTATGTGACATTTTTATTTTTTTTTTTTTTTATTTTATCAATTACATCAAAAGCATTACTGAAATCTAGCAACACTGCACCAACTAACTTCCTGTCATCGATACTCTTTAACCAATCATCTGTCATTTGTGCTAAGGCCGTACTCGTAGAATGCCCTTCTTTGTATGCATGCTGGAAACCCGTTATCAGACCATTACATGAGAAATCATCCTTGATTTGTACAGATACAATTTTTACCAATAATTTACTTAACACAGGCAGCAAGCTTATAGGACGACTATTAGGAGCAGTGAATGCAGATTTTTTATCCTTAGGTAGTGGAATAACCTTTCACTCTTTCCAGACTTCTGGACACACCCCATACATCAAGCACTTATTAAAAATATGAGAGATTGGGGTAGATATTTGGTTAGCTGTAACTCTAAGCAATTTGGCGTCAAGATTATCTGTACCAGGTGACTTTTCATCGGAAAGAGACAACAGCATCATTTCAACCTCTTCCCTTTCTACTTGGTGAAATTCGAACATGCATTGCCTTCATGATACAATCTTTTATAAGGGTATATGACATGGAGCCATCAGTTGGAATCATAGCATTCCTCAACTTGTCCACTTTGCCTGTAAAATATTAATTAAAGTAGTTTGCGATGTCGTGTGGTTTTGTAATAAATATAAAATCTGATTCAACAAAAGAGGCGGACATGTTCGAATTCCTACCCATAATAACGTTCTCCACAGTTTTTTCCAATCGCCCTTCATCAATTTTGTGCTGATAAAATCCCTTCTTCTTTCCTTTGTTTAGCTTGGTCACAAAATGTCTTAATTAACAATAACTTTGCTTGTCTGCTGCTTTTTTGGCATCATAACTTTGAATCATTACAGTTCAAAGCTCATCATCAATCCATGGGGCACCGTTTGACCTCACAGTGCATTTTCTTAAAGGGGCATGCTTATCAGCAATACTCATAAATAATTTCATATACAAACTTATTGACATTTCAGGATCATCCTTACTACACACTTCCAACCATTGTACATTCTTAATCTCATCCACAAATGAGTCCTGTCTGAACCCTCTGTAGGACCTTCGGTAGATTACCTTAGGGCCAGCCTTTGGTATTTTAGTTTTCCTAGTGGGTGCAACCAAGTTATGATCACTAGAGGAGTGCGCTTGCATTTTTAAGAACTTCTCTGCTTTTAATTCCTGTGTATACAGTATAGGAGTCATAAAACAAAGAAAACCTCAGAATGAGGCAACTCAACAAGGGGAATTGCCATGACCTGCCAGGTTCAGGGATGCTCATTTCAGAACCCTGTTTTTTCAGTTTTGTGTGCTCATTTGAGATGGCATATCAGAGATGGGAAAAAGGTGTCTTCTCCCCATTGAGGCTGCTCCAGATATTTCCGGGTCAGGTCATATTTTAATTCCCATCTGAGCAGAAAACATAAGGAGCCGTTTGCAGATCACAGTCACGTCAGACAAAATACAGAAAACACAGTAGATGATGAGACTGTCAGACTCGCAGATGCACATGTCGATAAAGAAGATGTAGTTGATGAAGTTGACCAGGGGGCATTCTTGAGTAACTTAGCCTTGTTTTACTTAAAGATGCAAGCCAAAATGCTGTTGCCAGCCAGCACAATACAGCCCATAATAGAGAAGTTCCAGGAGGTCCGTAACTGTGGAATGAAAGGTGTGCTTTCAAAACTCCACAAGAAGTTGTCTATGCTGAACTTGCAGGACAGTGAGATAAAGCAAATCATTGATGAAGTATCACAAGAAGATCTGCTTACAGTACATAATGAAGGAGTCTTAAGGTCGGACAAAACATGAAAGTCATTTTTCAAAAATAACTTTAGCTATGTTGAGCACACTCGGATTTAGCTTGGTTCAGATACTAGTGGCAAGGAACGTTCAAAGAGACACTGAAATCTCTCCTGGGACAGTCAACTATGAAAGACCAATACAAACAGGCAAAAATGCATGTCTCTGTTGCCAATGTTTTAGAGGATGTGACAGATGGAAAAAATGTAAAGGAAAATGTACTTTTACAAGAGTCCCCCTCATCATTGTCTATCATTCTCTACCAGGATGCATGTGAAGTGGCAAATCATCTCGGCTCAGGTAAGAAAAAACACAAAATCCTGGCGGTATACATGACACTGGGTCAGATTCTGCCCCACAATCGATCCCATGCAATTGGGATTGCTCTGTAGGGAGAATGATTTTAAATGTTTTGGGCATGAGAAAGTGATTTCCAATCTGATTGCAGATCTTAAGGATTCAGGCTTTGAGACAGGGGATGGGGAAACTCTTATATTTATATATTTATTTTAGTCATTTTAGCAGACGCTCTTATCCAGAGCGACTTACATTAGCAATTAGGGTTAAGTGCCTTGCTCAAGGGCACATCGACAGATTTTTCACCTAGTCGGCTCGGGGATTAGAACCAGCGACCTTTTGGTTACTGGCACAACGCTCTTAACCACTAAGCTACCTGCCGCCCTTAAAGGGTAATTGATCGCCATTGCTGGGGACCTGCCCAATACCTGCAGACACAGACACAAAAGAGGGCAGTTCATTAATCTGCACCCAATACAGCTAGCCTTCAACATATTCTTATAGCCTACATATTCTTACGTATTTGTTGATTGATATCCATAGAATTTGGTACATTTTCTGTTTTAGAAAGATTTTCACAAATATGAAAAGATAGATGGTATCATCATAAAACAATGTGAATTTAGAACACACAAGGGACAAACCTTACCTTAAATTGAGACCTTTCCATTTTTCAGTTAAGTGCCTGCACCTGCTGTCCTTTCAAATCCAAATGTTTCAGTTGGGCAGTTAGGTTCCTGCAAGAACTTTCACCAACTAAGAAGGTTCCTCGATGAACCCCACCTCCTTTGGGGTTCTTGGAAGAACCTTTTGGGGGCAATCTTCAGTGCCAAGAACCTTAAGGTTCTTCTAAGAACTTTGAGGATCTTAGAAGAACCCTGGTTGAACCCTTAATTTTTAGAGTGTATACCTATGATGTAGGCCTATGCACGGTATGTTTTATTTTTAGATAAAAAAAATATATTACAATTTCAGTTGGTTCGCATGGGAGGTCGTGAGAGTTGAAATAGGGACCATCCTGAGACATTTTCAGAACAAATGAACAATGCCAGGAAATCACGTGTCAGAGTAGCATATTGTAATTAAATTCTGCATAAAAGTGTATTAAAACATGTTTTATAAGTAATTTTGTTGAATATATTATTTATGACCCTCCTATTTGTTTATGCTATTCCTCCATGTAGCATTTAATTGCCATGCACTCTTAGGATAAAAGTGTTATATTGCTTGTTTCGTATATGGCACCGCTAAAGGTTCTATTTAGAGCCCGTTTGCAGGGTTCTTTGATCAGAACCCCAGGAGTTCTTCTTCACTGAACTAAAATTGGTTCCATATAGAAACCTAGGGTTCCATATAGGGTTCTATATGGAACCAATATCTGTTCTATGTAGAACGTTAAGGCGTGCCATGTGTGGGCAAGCATCCAGACCCTTTTGTGAAATTGCGTGGTGTCATGCAACCTTTGAAAGAAGACGAATTTCCCAATGAAATGTTATCCGAAATGTAATCTTATTCCAAATCAACATCATCTTCAATGAAAAACTGTGAACACCAGAAATCATGTGACTGTATCATCATATCTCTGTAAAATATTGTTGATTCGTATAGGTATTAATAATAATAAGTACACATATACTGGATATCATGCAACATGGATATCATGCAACATAAATATAATTCCACATTTGGAATGTTAGTTCAAAACAGGGAGCATATAGGAGGGGGTCTACCAAAATATTTCAGACCACCCAAACCCGTTCCTTAAACGAAATAAAGTAATGTTAAGTGTCCAATTGATTTTAGAACCCAGCCAAGGTTGATCTTTATCTTTAAATAGGCAGTTGTGGTCCACAAACCACAATTACCCTTTAAGCAAGTCGTTCCAACGTAGTTGGAGACCATAGTTTCTGTTTGCGAATGGAAATGTCTTGCGTTTGCAAATACCATATAAAACGCTATTGTTTTCGAAGTGAAAGGCCAAACTCAAAATACGTATTTACTTAGGCTATCGTCTGACTAAAATCGGTTCACATGTATATATATATATATTTTCATATAAAACATGTTCCCTGTTGATAAGCCAATATTTCACGATAAAATAACAAATAATCAAGAATTTAACAATTCTTCGAGAGATGCACCTGTCCTTTCGGTGCATTTTCTCCAGACGGAAAACAATACTCTCAGGTACGAAAGCGCCTGTCTACCCGGACTTCCACCTTTCACTTTTGGAACACCGTGCAGAATTGTTGTATAAATGATCGACACAGAATTGGAGCATGTCAGAAGTCGGGAATTCGGGAAAGGGATCTAACAAGAAGTACACTTTATCTCTTTATCCTTTGGAGAATATATATTTTTTTTGTCGGAATTAAAGTAGGCTATCTATCGGAAGTGTACCTATTTTGCATCCCGTTGATTGCGGCCAGACAGAGAACTACAGTAAGCTAAAATGGGTTCAATAAGCCTTTGGATGTTCCTGGTCCTGACGATTTGCACCTGGAATAAAACCATCGGATGCACTTGGATGAGTACACAACCTCCGCCTCGGAGCATGTTCCATGTGTTCAGCAACTACACCATAACGATGCTTGAGAAAATGGTAGGATACGGTAATGTTTATTCACTTGTATCTGGTCATTGAGCTGTTATCATCTTTTCAACTTTTCATGTGCTGCTATTTTAATTCAATTCCGTTATTCCTTTATGTATACAGTAATAATAATGCAATCTTTTGTTTCTATTTTTTGGCATCTCAGGGTGATGAAGTCTCTCCAAAATGTCTGATGACTTTCCCTTACGAGCTATATAGACAGGTCGACAATTTCAATGTAAGAAAAATGCGTAGCCTACACTCTTAGAAAAAATATGTTTTGTTTCTATCCAGAACCTTTTTTTCTAATAGTGTATATAATGAGGTTTTAACGAATATGCTATTTGCTATAATTTTCTTATATTTGTCCTCAATTCCTAAGGCACGTACTAATACCAATCACTCTTCTTCTAGGCTGACGACCAGATTGCCTTCATTTCGCAAACTCTGAACAAAATAATGAAATTGTACAGCAGTGATAAATATGAGTCCACCGCCTCGGACCAGATAGGATTTTACAAGTCGTTTATGACACACCTCGAACGCCAGACCTCGGAGCTGGACAGATGCGTAAGTTTGTGTCATTTGTGATTTTCTCCTTTTAACGTTAATGCAAAAAGGTTAAAATGATCCTATCCTATTATATTATCATACAATGTGGTTAAAAGTGTTAAACAAATCATAATATTAAATTAATGACTTATATTTCGTTCCAACATGTAAAGGCTATACATTTACATTTACATTTACGTCATTTAGCAGATGCCCATATCCGGAGCGACTAGCAAATTTGTACCATCAAAGTCTGTCGAAGAAGTGAACATAAAAATGAGCGAACACTTTACATCTCTGGAGAGTCACTTGAATGACACGGTAGGTTGGTCAATTTGTCTTACCAAGAGAGTACATTCACTAAATCGGGATGTATTGATGTGTGATGATACAACATGTGTCTTTTCTAAAATATTATTACATGTATTTCATTCATGCAGGAATACAGCGCAAGCAGCTGGGAAGACATAAGGACAGTGGTGCTGCGACACCTGGGAAGAGTAGACACAACACGAAGGACTAGCCAATGAGCCTTATGTGTATGTAGAGATTATTTATTTATATATTTATTCAACTATTTATTTACTTGTTTTTGAACGTATTCATTTATTGTGTAGTAGGTTAAATACATTTACATTATTTAGCAGACGCTCTTATCCAGAGCGACTTACAGGAGCAATTAGGGTTAAGTGCCTTGCTCAAGGGCACATAGACAGATTTTTCACCTAGTTGGCTCGGGGATTAGAACCACCGACTGTTCGGTTACTGGCACAACGCTGTTAACCACTAAGCTACCTGCCGCCCCACGTTTATTTATTTGTTTTTGAACGTATTCACTTATTGTGTAGTAGGCTAATGTATTCACAACTCTGCAAAGTAAAACACTTCTTTTACTGAATAATTAGGCTGTGATAGATTATTTTGGGCTATACACAATGTAACAATGTTTTCGTGCCTTTATTTTTGTGTTTATGAATGCCATTGCATATTGTATTTGTTATTGCAACCTGATATGAAATGTTTGTTATTGAAACGATGAAAAACATTACAATTAAATAAATGTGGTCTCTACAGCTGAAATCTCGTTTAATCTAACATATGTACATATAGGCCTACTAAAAATGGCATTAGTTAGTCCTGATGCTGCAACCTGGTCTCAGAGCATGTAGTATTATTCTGTAAGTAACTCTGATACAAACCATTTAGTATGATATGTTATGTTTTGTATGGTATGTATTAATTTGTGGATCTCCATCACCCCTTTCGTATGCTAAATTACGAATTACAAATCGTATTATACGTTACGAATTGTCAAAATGTACAATATGTTATGAATTTTCAAAACGTACAATATGTTATGAATTTTCAAACGTATGATATGTAATGAATTTTATCTAGGTGGCAAACATAATCTAGCTGGCTAACGTTAGTTAATCTAGGGATTAGGGTTAGGGGTTAGGGTTAAGTTTAGGAGTTAGATTAAAGAGTGAAGGATTAGTTAAAATGGTTAAGGTTATGGGGAAGGGTTAGCTTAATGGTTAAGGTTAGGGTTAGGGGAATGGTTAGCTAACATGCTAAGTAGTTGCAAAGTAGCAAAACAATACTAAGTAGTTGAAAAGTAACTATTTACCTAAAATACTAAAGTTGTCTGTGATGAGATATGAACTCGCAACCTTTCGGTAGCTAGACTTTTGTTTTATATGCCTACCGAGACGCACAAATATCATTGTAATGGTGAGAGGTTAGCATGTCTTGGGGGTATGATATTAGTGTGTCTGTAACTTTCTCACTCGTCATTATTCAAGATTCATTCAGGATTATCCACAATCATGGTAGCATCAACATTAATTTAGAAGTGTTTAGAAACATATTCTTATTTACAATAAAGAGGACTCCAAAATGACACAATAAATTATTTACCATTCATTTCTATTGGGCACATATAAGTGAATTTGTCCCAAAACGTTTGTTCCCCTAAAATGGGGGGACTGTGTTCAAAAAGTGCTAGAATTTCCAAACAGTTCACCCAATATGGATCACAATATCCTCAAATTAAAGCTGACAGTCTGCACTTTAACCTCATAGTCATGTATAATTTCAAATCCAAAGTTCTGGAGTTCAGAGCCTAAACAGAAAATGTTTTGTCACTGTCCCAATACTTTTGGAGCTCACTGTATTCATGAAAAATGTAATGATATCCCGGTGTTAGGTCTTCAAAAGACTGAGGCATGTTTTCCTCAAAGTTTTTACCTTGGCTTTGCTCCTTTAACATTTATTTTGTATTTATCATCTTTAGCCTCATAGAGATATTTCTGAGCGGTTTCCATTTTCTCCCACAGTTCATTTAGAAAGGATGGCCAGATCATTGCAGTGTTTGGGTGATATTATAACCATCTAGAGATTAAGTACTATGCTTGATCATACTCAAAGGGATATTCAGTGTCTTGGGATTATTTCCTAACCTCCCCCGATCTACGCTTGTCTAAAATTGTATCGCATACATGCTTGTAGCCCTTTCCTGCAGTCAAATGACCTAGTATCCTCGTGGGTGGAATATTATTCATATTTTTCATAACTCATAATTAATAAACATGATTTTTTATGCTGAAAATCTGGTGTTTATATGTCAAACAGTTTTGTTATATTTGAGTCTTCTGTGATGTATATTAAGTGTAATATTGGGATTCAAACTCAAAACTGAATACATTTCAACGATTTTGGAAGCTCATAACCACTTGTGTGAGGTGTATACTTTTGTTTCAAAGTAGATTTGTTTAAGACTACCAAGAAACACCCTGTGTGACCCTGATTTAGCCCACTGCAGTAAAAGGTTAAAGCTCATTGGTGGCTCTGAGGTTGAATCATTGTTTGAAATTCACTCTCCACTATCCTCTGACATTACAGAGATGGGAAGTTGCTCTCAAATCATGAAAACCACTACTTTTGCAAACAGATGGAAATTGTGTGATTTTTATGAAAATATTTGCTCCTGGATGTATTTAGTTGAACCACAGCTATGGGTGTGAAGACCTATGCGACCAATACGTTTTGTTTTTCACTTTGAAAATGTGGAGTAGGTTTTTTACATCATCGGGTAAAAATCCCAACATTAATCCCTTTTTAGATTTAATTTTAAAGCAGGAAAATGTGAAAACTTTGCAAGGGTGTGTAGACTTTCACAAGGCACTTTACATACAAAAATGTATCCACAAAACCCACTTGAGATTTATCAAATCTTTCAAATAATGTTTTACCTGTTCAAGCTATGAGAACATTAAAGTAAAGTGTAAAAAAATGTATATTCCACTAGTGCTTCCACTAGTTCCACTAGTGCTAAAAAAAAACTGTGATGTTGGCAGGGGCAGACTGGGACTACAAATCAGCCCTGTCATTGCTAACACACCGGCCCCCATTAGCCAGATAATTATCATTATGCTAAAAAATCCCAAATTAGACAGGCCCAGTGGGCAAAAAATTGACCAGCTGGTCCAATTTTTGCAGAGTGGCCAGTCAGCCCCTGGATATTGGGAACACCTACTTTTAAAGTCTTGCTTTAACTAAAATGTATCAGGCCTATTGCAACCATCGATGGCAACCAGATTATTGACATTTGATCTTTTGTTAAACCATCAATGATGATGGAAAGCATGTGCAAGCATGTGCACAGAGAGTATTCCTCGAGTACAACAAAATGGAATAGAAATATTGCGTAAAATTTTTCGGAATGACACCATTTCATGTATACAACATCTAAAGACCTGCATTATGGTACTGAGATCTTGGCCATTTCCTATAATTACTGATCTGGGTGTTTTTGGAGCCTTTGTTCATGTTATATCCATGCCCCCACACTGCACAACAAGCCTGAAGAAGTATATCGCTGGTGGGGTAAGTTTCTCAAAACCAAGTGAAATCACCCAAAAAAGTGTCTGGACACTTCTATAACATTCCGTTTACATTTTTAAAAAATAGAGATTTGGTTAAAAAAGCAAACTTATCCTTTAACATGCAGGTGAATATAATCTCCTGTTTGTTGCATTTTAAGAAATCCATTGCTAACGCCCAGCTACATGGTCACCCTTTCCTGAAGTCAATGACCAAAAGCGCCTTCTTTTGCATTCATGGTGTGGAATGTTATTCATATTTTTCATAATTTCATAATTCATTTATTTTAATTTTTTTACGACTGAATCCCTGTGTTTCTATGTCAAACTGTTTTGTTATTTTTCAGTCTTCTGTGATGTATATAAAGTGTAATATTGGGATGCAAACTAAAAATGTAATACATTTCAACTCTATATCTGACATGGTACAGGTGTCTTCTTTTTTTTAAGCCCATAACAATGTGTGGGAGGTGTATACTTTCGTTTCAAAGCAGATTTGTTTAATACTACCAAGAATCACTCTGTGTGACCCTTATTTAGCCCACTGCAGTAAAAGGTTAAGTTCTGCCCCTTGGTTGCAATTGACCCACCTGCTTTGCACGGTAAGCAAGTCATTATGTGGTTATGATGGACTGTGATTGCTACTTACTTCAAAGTAAACCTGGGTCAAATACAAATGTCATACTTTTACATTTGAGCTGTGCTTCCTTTACGTAATTTTATAGGCATATTACAAAAGACAAGTTGATATACTTCACATGTAATGTCAATGTAAGTCAATTTATTCATTTGTAACAAAAAAGTCAGTGATGAGGAAAAACAGAGTGACTCTTTTTCATGATGGTTTGCATTCACCCTGTGGTCTCTATTGCTGAGTTACGAACCATCTCATCCATTTTATTGCTAACAGGCCATGCCGGCCTGCAGGAGATTAAATAGATCAACTAGGTAGTTTGGGACACTTCTACACCAAATACATACCCCTCTATGAGTGGTATTAAATAAAGACAATGGTTTTCCGAAGCCAAATGCCCATGCAATAATTAATCCCAGTACACCGCATTTTTGTTGTATTAGCAAAAAAATGTAACTGCACACAATGTAAAAATGTCTGCACACTTGTCAATCATTACA